AATATTCCTAGAATCACATGTCATTTTTCTTTAAAGATGGTCTTTTTTATTTCTCTTTGGAAGTTCCCTGGATATTGTCTTTAACCTTTTTTTTTTGAGAATGTGCAAAGACATGCCTAGGTGTAGATCTTTCTTGTTTTATCTTCCTCAGAACTGGGTGAATCCTCTTATATTGATGACACGTTGCCCTTTTAGCTCTGAGAAACTTACTAATATTATTTCCTTTATAAATGCCTCTTCTTTGAGTTCCTTGTTCTCCTTTTCTGGATTTTCTATATATCCGGTTTAAACTCTACATATCTAATCTCCCACTCACCCTACATTTTCTGCATGTCATCTTTTTGTTTTGCTTCTGGAGATTTATTTGACTTTATCTTTTAACTTTAAATATTTTATTTCAGCAATCACCTCCTAAATCTTAAAAGGTCTTAATTTTTCTCCTGTCATTATTTTTTATTTTAAGGATAAAGTTGTTTTGACTCCCATTGAGAATGCTAATTAAAGTTAGGTTTCCCTTATTTACCTAGATTTCTCTATTTGTCCAGGTTTCATATATTTTTCTTGTTCTTGGCCTTTATTTTTGATGTTGCTGATTTTCCTCCAGCTTTTGGTGATACTTGGTTGTCCATGTATATCTACGAATGAGGTTAGAAAGGGTGACTGAGTGCTCTGTGGCCACAGATGGGTCTTTACCTTAGTGTAAGTGAGGGTCACTGGTCATGATTCTGGAGAACCTGGACATGGGTTTGCATTATACTTTCAACCAATATACTTAAACTTATACTTCTTGGCTTCTATATGGGAACAGATGCAGCAATAGCCCATGTTCTTCTTTCAATTTCCCAAACTTTATCATTTATATCTTCAATTTTACATTGTCAAAATTTGATCTGTAGCCACATTTAATTTCTGAGTGATTTCTTATCAGCTTACTCTATAATTTGAACCTGATTCTTGTTGTTTATATGTAATATTATGACAATATTCATGCTGTTTATATATAATATGATGTAAACATTGCTTGCCATGGAGCCTTGGAGTATGCTAGTAATTTTTATTTCCCTCTCTGTGGGTCCAAAGTTATGCTCATCTCACAAAACAGCAAATAGCCAAGTCCAAAGTCTGACCTTTTCTTGCATTTCATTGAATGTTCACAATTAGTTCACATTTTAGTTTGCTTCATAATTGGACTGGCACTTTCTTACAGTTGTACTTTTCCTTGAATTTCTACTTCCCATTCTTTTTTCTTTTGGGAGAAGAAACATATGCTTTCTTCATTATTCACTAATATTATCCAGGTCTCTATTATTCTGCCTTTCATTTGGAGTCCATTTCTCCTTTCTTCTTGACAGTAAATGCTTTGGAACTGTGAAAGATTTTGTTTTGCATTTACAAATGCTTCTGCTGTAAAATCTATTTTATTGGCAAAATGTCTCCTAAGAAAATCTTAAAAACCATTTTCTAATTTGCAAGAGAACTATAGCTTATATACTAGTTAGTTATAGTAAGATGCAGTTGGTGGGCTAATTATCACAAGATTGGTGAGTAAATTCAATTTTTAAGGACAAAACATTTCATCAAGGGCAGTTTCCAATAACAAACATACATAAACCTAAGGTCACAGGCCATTGGAGATGATTATTTGAAAATCATTGGAAACTATTTCTCTCCTGGTAAACAGACTAGACAAAAACTAAATTCCTTGATGACAAGACATAAATAAGTATAAATTAAATTATACAGAAACTTTACCCACTTGGCTATGGCTCTTTGTTCTTCTATGTAAATTTTCAACCTTCTCCTTCATCTTTAAAACAAAGGGTTGTGTCAACAGTCTTTTTTGCTTTCATGGTTCTAGTTTAAATACCATTTTGCCTCATGACATACGGTTTCATCGGTAATTTTAAACAAGGCTGAATCAAAATATTTGGGGTTTATAATTTCCTGTTTATTTGGAGCCAACTGTTCTAATTTAGAATAATTGCTTTCAAAGTCTGTTGTCCAACAGTCATTCTGGATTTCTCTTTATTGGTCTCCCTGGATTTCAAGCTATCTTCTTTCTTGTTAACTCTCAGTTTACTGGATAATGTTCTCATGTAACTCCTTTCTTCCCTGTGTTCTCATATATCTGCAAATATATTTATTTTGCCCTCATTCATATGGATAACTAGACTTCACGTAGATTTTTAGGTTAAAAACAAGAGTTTTGGCATTTTTATTTGCTTATGCATTGTTAATAATTCTGGTTTTATTTCACCTTGGCCAGAAAATGTGATATATAGTTTCTCCTTTTAGGAATTGAGGTTTTTCTTTTTCACATGCTATAAGGTCAACTTTTTTGTAAATGTTATCTGGACATATGACAAGGAAGTTAAAGTACTGAGCTTGATAAATATTTATTATAGTATGCTTTGAAATTATATAATTCAGATTGCTTATATTCTTATTCATTTTCCCTGTTTGATCCATCAAGAATTGTGTTAATTAGACACACATATTATTATTTTTTTCTTATGTATTACTTAGCATATTAATACTAGTGACATATTCCTACTGAGAAATGTGCTCTTTGTTAATACAAAATGACCTAATCTGCCCTCTTAAAAGTGTTTTGAGTCGAATTTTACTTCATCTAATGTAAACAGTGAGATCTGTTATTTTTTAGTTTGCAGTAGTGGTGTGTATCTTTGTTCATCAAATTACTTTAAAGATTTCTCAAACTGCTGTGTATACTTCTCTTTAGATTTATACACTCTAAAGTTGGAATTTTGTCCCATTCTGTGTGTTATTTTTTTAAATGATAGCTTAACCATTATTGTCATAACTATATTTGTTCTTACTTCTATTACCTTATTTTATACTTATTTTTCCTGTCCTCTTGATTTTTCCTTTGTTGCCAGTATTTTGCCATACCAGCTTCATTTATTTTTAATGATTTAAAGTGTTATGTTCAATTTAGTTCATCTAGAATTCAGCTTTGACATTCAAGATTCAACACACAATTGTTTATATGTATAAATAATGTACATATATACTATATATATATATACATATATATTTATACTGAGAAAAATATCTACTTTTATTTGCTTTAAATTTCATTTATCCCATCTCTTGGTTTTATTGAATTTATGATCTAAATCATTTGATGTTTATCATTGTTAAAATATTGCTTTTAGCATGACATATCAGTTAAATTGGTTTTACACATAAATGTTTTTGTTTTCTAGGTCACTAGAAGTCATTTAGTATCTATATTTTCTGATTCTTGTCTTTGGTTCATTTTTTGTATAAATTTAAAGGAAAAACTATACCTTGTGAACAGCATAATTGTAAATTTGTATATATCTGATGGTCTCTTTAGGTTACTAAATATAATTCTTGGGTCAGAGCCCCTTTTCAAATGTTGGCACTTCATGGTCTTCTGGTGTTTAATATCAAGGAAAAAGTCTAATTTTTTATAGATAAGTTTTTTTCTATGTCAATGATGTTAGCATTGTTTATTTTTCCCTTCAAATTTATAATTTTCACCAAAGTCTGTTTATTTTCTTTTCATTAAATGATTCATGGTGAGGTATTTTAATTTGTATAATTAGGCCTTTCTCATTTCAGTAAAATTTTTTTCTTGTATATTTTTGATTAAGCAATGTATTCCATTTGTCTTGTTATATACTGGTCATATCTCCTTTGTCAGTTTTCCTATATGTAATTTTCATTCTTGTTGACTTAATCTCCATTTCCTATTCTTTCCATTCAGAGTTTCTTAGTCCTGTCCTCTATCTTCAGATTTTACTTTTACAGGGTTAATTCTGATTTTACAGCCTTCGTGTTCATTTTAAAGCTAATAAGAAAGTAATTTTTGTTTACATTGAAAGTCTTCTATTTGTCAGGAAGCTTTAAAGGTATTTTTCCGTGCCTCGTAAACCTCTGCTTTTTCCTTCTTGTCCGTTGTCTTCTCATCTTGGTCTGTTTCACAGATCTCTCATGTTCCTGGATATCTTTGAGAATATAAAGCTGATTCCATTTAAAGTTAAAAAAAATGTGTTATTTGTAGTTGATTATTTCTAAATCTTAGCTCTTCAAAACATCTATTTTATATTATTGTTATTGTTTTGAAGTTAGTAATTCTAAGATAGGATGCTATCCAAAATTAGAATTTGCCCCCAAAAGAGGATTGCTAAGGTTTTGATTCCCTCACTATTATTGGGATGCTTTTTTGATTCTTCTCTCATATTTTAAAGCTGAGGTTCTGGTATATGTGAGTTTATATGACCAGTTCTATGACTCAGTAGATTTAAGGGAGTGAGAGAGAGTTAGAATCAGGGATTGACCCAAGATGTGTGGTTTCTTCACCATACTTGGTGAAACCTGCTATGTCAGGGGCCAACTCGATATCTAGATTGGCCTGACCTCCATTTCAATTACAAGTAGAGCTTTTTTTGCCTTCTTCTGGATACTTACGCCTTCCAGATTGGGAAAGGTTGAGCCTGGGGGAAGAGACTCTGCCTTTAAATGTGTTTTGGAAAGTCTGCTCTTGCCCTTGGACCTCCTCACAGTGTTGTTTTGGACAGGCTTTGACTGCTAGGGATAAAGGGAGTTCCAATTGAAGATTTCCTAATCTGTCCTGTAACTGAGTTATCATGTTATTCATCAAAATCAGGATACATACAGAACGAAAGAAGGCTCCATCGCAATTAAGTTGGAAGGATCAGAACAAATCCAGGCTATTTCAGTCAGCTTGGACATTTGACCTGCCCTATGTATGACCTACCGCTCTTTAGCAACTACCCATTCAAATTAGGGAGTATTAGTGGGCTATATGAAGTTATTCTCTACAACTAATAGATATCAACCCAATAATTCTAATAACCATAATAATGGTGGTAGTAACAAATATCTACTTACTGAGAGTTTACTATTATGATAATCTATTTCAAGGTTCCACAAGGAAAATTCATGTCTACATAAAGATTTTAACCCTTTTCTTCTCAATTTCCCAGGAATCTTCCACCACTGGTCCCCAGTCTTTGAGGTTCATTGGCATCCTTGGAGGAGAAAGACGTCTGAGGCTACTGGTTATCTTTTCCATACCTCTTGTCCCCTCTGCACCTCACCTCCACTCTGCACAGATGTCCTTTGGTCATTTCACAGGTGTGTCTTTTGTTCTCAATTCATTGATAAACTCTTTGAGAGGAAGAAACTTGCTTCCTAAGTCTTTGGCATTCCTCATAGCTTCCAATTTGGGGCCCTCCCACCACCCCCTGTCCCATGCTCAGTTTTTCTTGAATGGTGTCTATAATTCTTCAGGTGGGTGTAAGTTTTCTCAGGACATTTCTCAGTAACCTTCCTCATCATGCTTGTCATTATAATTTAGCTTCTGATCTAGTGCTGCTGTTACAGTTGGATTTTTTCAAATTTTAATTTCACATTTCATTTCAAGAAGTAAATTAAACAGATATGTTGGTTATATATTTTGCCTTCTTTCTTTTTCACCAGAGTGAATTCTAAGTATCATAAGGCAAACTCTAAATCAGATACATCAGTGTTTATGATGTCATAATTTTCTATAATAGGAATCAATCTTGAATAGCTGAATTACAAGCTGAGAAGAGCTATTAGCAATACATTAATTTGGTGAATGCCTAGATCTATCTCCCTTGTCTTGTTTTTTTAATTGTGCAATTATTATTTGACTGATTATTAAATTACATTGGATTGATTAGTTTCTACTTGAAAAGGAAGTTTAAAGTTTTTAATATTTCCTTATGTGAGGAAAGGTGTGGTACATGTTATTTGTATTACCTTAAAGATGGAAAATGGGAAGCAGATTTTAAAAGGCTTAATAAGCCTTGATCTTTGTAACTGATTTTTACCTGGAAACTAGAGAAAAGCCCACCATTCCCAGTTCAGCACACCATTTCAGACTTTATCCATTGAGTTTCACCTCCATTTGTTGCCAGATGAACTGATCAAAACTGGTCTGATTGTGTATTATTATATTTCTTTACCAAAAGAAAGGATAACAATAAAAAGAAGGTAATCACTTCTCTTATAGATAATAAATTCCTCGAGGATAATAAATGAATCTTGAAATTCTTTGTATTGTTTCTTCCACTTACTTAGCACCTAGCACAATTCCTTGAGCATGACCCACACTTACTGTGAATTTGCTAACTTTATCTGAATTTCAGTTATTCATTTTAGCAGGCTTGGGACATACTGTTGTAAGATCACAGAAGAAACTCCTCTTCTCAAGAGCTTCCCTTAGTTCAGGTTCTGCTCAGGTTCAGCTTTGTCTTTTTTTTACAAAATCATCATATTTAATTTTAGGATTTTCTCTGATAAAAATAGAAAAATGAAGTTATCTGGTTACTTTCAAGAGCATGTCTTTCTTGTTAGCTATATAACTTTCTGAACCTAGTTTTCTGAAATGGCATATTGATAATGGAATATTATCCACAGTATTTTGTTCAGCCAATACTTCTATCACAAATCTCTCACCTAAAATCACTATCCTGTTTGGACCTCCATTTCTCCTTATGTAAAATTACCAATGAAGGACGTGGGAAGATCAACTGCAAAGGCTGATGATCCATTGCTTGATAGGTTTCATATTGTGAAGGTCTTAGAACTGCATTTCCATGTGAAGACAACATCAATTCTGTTCTTTCTAACATCTGGGACATTGTAGGTGCCAGGTAAAGAGCAAAGTGTGTGGACTTTCTAGGGTAATTTTAACATTTCCAGAGAAAAAATGAAATATACAGATAATCAGTTTGGACATAGCACCTATAGTCTTAAATCTTGAATTGGATTAGGCTTCTAGACTTCTAAGGAGTAAGTTTTTCTCTGAATCTGGGGCAAGTGGCACCATCACTTAGATATACTTATGTAATATTCCGTCCTTGAGGAAACATCTCACCAGAAAGTGGCAAAATACTAATTCATACATGTGTACTTAAGCAATTTCCACTATGGGTTTTAAAATTCCTGGACAAATCAGGATGAGGTATTATTGTTTTATTGTGGCAGCATAAAAACAATGCAAAAATATTGTTTCTACATTGCATATCATATTTCTATAAACCAGTATCAATATTTTAATGTGAAAAGTCTTCAAATACACATTCAACAGTGTATTATTAGGGAAGAAGCATATGTTGTAGAATCAGAAAACTGCCTTTAAGTGTGACATCAGTGGAATCAGGGGAAAGGCTTGATCTCCATCAGTTTCTTCTCCTATTTACAAAAAGGATTAATAATGTCTAGCTCACAAGATGGTTATAAAGAAAAAAATGAAATAATGTATGATTTAAAAACAACATTGCCACAGTAGGGCAGATATGGGCATTTATTATGTTATTATTGTGTTCCTCCTTTGCCCTTTAAAGGCCCTATATTTCATCCCTCTTTATTGTTTTAGACCGTATGTACTACCACTGTGACTTAGCAACAAACTCAAGAAATCATTACTTATAAGGTTGATTATAAGGTCTTTGAGATTTGAAATCCTCTCATCCTTGACATACAGATAGTGACAAGTGTATGAATAAAATGTGCCCATCAGCAGACTCGGAGACTCCAAGAGTGAACTAGTGGTTACCAAAGGGGAGGGGTGTGGGAGGACGGGTGGAGAGGGAGGGAGAAGAGGGTATTATGTTTAGTACACATGGTGTGGAGGATCACGCGGAGAACAGTGTATCACAGAGAAGGGACATAGTGGATCTCTGGCAACTTGCTGCACTGTGGACAGTGACTGCATTGGGGTATGGGCGGGAACTTGATTATATGGGTAAATGTAGTAACCACATTGTTTTTTCATGTGAAACCTTCATAAGAGTGTATATCAATCATACCTTAATAAAAAATTTTTAAAAAATGTACCCATGACTGTGACATGTCTCACATCAGATCCATCCTCCTTTGCTTTTCTCATGGTATTTTGCAAGACTATAAATGCTCCAAGGGCAAAATTGTGCTTGAAGTCCATCAGATACAGGACACAGGGAATGTAACCCAGGACCTTGGTCTTGTATCCTCTTATTTGTTTTCCTCACAATTGCACTGACTGGGGTTTTTAATAAAAGATATAAGGATCTTTGTACTTTGCTTTAGAGAGCTGACTCCCTAGGGAAAAGCCATTTGTGTGTCCTGACAATTGAAGTTGGGCAGAGTTGATTCCAGACTGCATTTCTACAAGCTATTGACTAGCTGGGAATCAGGATCTAGGTTTTTCCCTAGTTTCCTCTCATTTTTAGTCTCCTTAATGTTTTATAGCTTTTGCCTATTTAAAAATTGTTACTATATTTTCAACAAGTATCTACTGTGGAGAATCTATTTCTATACACTGTAAGGTAAGCCTGATTTTCTGTGGCATGACTATTAAAAATAAGAGATTACTAGTACACTTCAACTCAGTCTCTAACTCATAATGGTTCTTTCGCACACATAGTGCACTTATGGCACATAGTAGGCACTCAAAAATACATGGGTGACAAAAAGCAAATAACCCAATTAAAAAATGGGCAGAGGATATGAACAGATACTTCTCCAAAGAAGAAATTCAGATGGCCAACAGGCACCTGGAAAGATGCTCCACATCACTAATTATCAGGGAAATGCAAGTTAAAACCACAATGAGATATCACCTCACACCAGTTAGGACGGCCAACATTGAAAAGACAAGGAACAACAAATGCTGGCGAGATTGCGGATAAAGGGGAACCCTCCTAAACTGCTGGTGGGAATGTAAATTAGTTCAACCATTGTGGAAAGAAATAAGGAGGTTCCTCAAAAAACTAAAAATAGAAATACCATTTGATCCAGGAATTCAGTCCTAGGAATTTACCCAGAGAAAACAAGATCCCAGATTCAAAAAGACATATGCACCCCTATGTTTATCGCAGTACTATTTACAATAGCCAAGAAAGGGAAGCAACCTAAGTGTCCATCAGTAGATGAATGGATAAAGAAGATGTGGTACATATACACAATGGAATATTATTCAGCCATAAGAAGAAAACAAATCCTACCATTTGCAACAACATGGATGGAGCTAGAGGGTATTATGCTCAGTGAAATAAGCCAGGCAGAGAAAGACAAGTGCCAGATGATTTCACTCATTTGTGGAGAATAACAACAAAGCAAAACTGAAGGAACAAAACAGAAGCAGACTCACAGAACCCAAGAATGGACTAACAGTTACCAAAGGGAAAGGGACTGGGGAGGATGGGTGAGGATGGAGGGAGAAGGGGATTAAGGGCATTATAATCAGCACACATTATATAGGTAGGTCACAGGGAAGGCAGTACAGCATGGAGAAGACAGTAATAACTCTACAGCATCTTACTATGCTGATGGACAGTGACTACAATGGGGTTGTGGGGGTGGGGACTTGATAATATGGGTGAATGCTGAAACCACAATGTTGCTCATATGAAACCTTCATAAGATTGTATATCAATGATACCTTAATTTAAAAAAACATTTCACTGTTTTAAAAAATGTTTTGCTGCAGAATATCAGAATGGAATATTATTTTTTTAACATAAAAATATACATAGGTGAGTAAGGCGTGAAGTTAATTTTCAAGTTTTGGGTGAGTAGTTGCTGTTTTACATTCTCCTTCTGCAGAACATCTCCCCAGGAAATCAGTATCTGGGCTTTCTTTGCTTGTTTGTACTTGTGCAGGAAATACTGCGTCCTGCTCACATACTCATTGCCCCAGTGCCCTATCATATGCAGTCCACCCAGCAGAAGGGATTGCAGTCCAGCCTCCAGAAAAAATGTCCAAGGGAGCACTGTTTGCGTGTGTTCTGAAGATGGAAATAATTATCATAAAAGACGTAAGAAGGATTATGTCAGGAATTCTCTCCAGATCTGCACATTTAGCAAGCCATCCTGTTTTGCATTATAGAATCACATTATGTTCCACAGTTCCTCTGTGGCTGTTTGGTGTTGGTCATGGATTTGTGAGCAATTGGGGTCAAAGTAGGCAATGTTTACAAACACAGGAGGAATGTCAGCAAGAGATGGCCAAATCAAAATAGGATCTTTATAATTCTCTAAGTGGCTAGTCATTTGACTTATAAACAGAAAGCATGGTTTCTGGCTATGCAAGGTGTTCTCTGCACTCAGAGCTTTAAAGAATGTAACCAAATCAAATCATTCATCTGTACTTCAAGTGCTGGCAAGCCAGTCCTTTCCTAAAGTCAGGGTTTCTACCTAATACCTGGTATACTTTTCTATGGACTAAACCTTAAAAAGAACCACGGGAGCCTGAATTCATGAGGAATTAAGCACATTGAAATAACTGCAAGCCATGTGAATTGGGCTAGTAGGTGTTTTTACACAGCGTCAGCCTTGAGATCCAGTGATCAATAAAGAGCAGACAATGGTATTCAGAAGCAGATAGCAGACCTTGATAATTCCATTCCTTTCAAGTGGGTGTCAAACTCAGGTAGAGCACACTGCTGAGTTTCTCTAGCTGTCTTCATATAAGTCACTTCTTAGGATTCTGATTTGGAAGTTTTGTGGCAATTACCACTTGCCAATGTGAGCAGGTTTAGAAGGCATGAGACAGAGCAGTGGTCTTGTTCTGAGTGAGGGATGGAGTTAAGTGCCTTTCATCTTACAATGGGCCAAAGAGTAGTTTGGGGATGAATCTATGGTACTGTAGGGCTTTGTGGCCATGCTATTGAGTCTACCCTCAAAGAGGCAGGATTCCCTTTACAACAGTTTTACTAAGACCACTTCTGGGGTTTCAGATCCAAGTTTTATTTTGGAACCTGAAAGGGGGGGCCCAAGGTGGGATCTCAATTACATTGTATGCTTCCTGTCTCTCTTCCAAAAGGGAAAAAAGTGCAATGCTTTTGGCATTAAAGAACTGAATTTAGAGTAACATGACTGTAATTCAACCTCTATAGCACCACAGAAAAGTTAAACTAAGATTCCCCGTGGGCAGAAGACTGACATAGATGTGACCCTGGACAAAAAGTTCCTGGAGCAATTCACATCTTGAACAGACCTGTGTCCATTAAAGGTGAGACATATCTAATCTGGAGTCT